GCATTATGGAGGCAATCACAAAGGGATTTTGAAAGGTGAGTCAATATTTTACAACGAAAACAGTTCAACGAGCGCAAATAATCAATGACCGTTCCACCCATACGATTGAACGAAAGCAGATGGAACGAAATGAGTTGAAGTGTGTATTTCCATATGAAAACATTACTTCACCTAGAACCGTTCAGTTCTATAAACGGTTCAGGTGCGACGTTGCCACCATTTTGCTAACGATCGCCCTTATAGCCTCCCACTCATTACAGTTTTTTGCAAAAGCGCTCCTTTCCTTACATTATGATTTTGGAGCCATCCCATCCACGTTTCAGGACAGAATGGTTATCCGAATCTTGAAGTCCGCGAAAGGAGCGCCTAGAAGATTTAGCAAGCTAACGCGGAAAAATTCGATGTCACTTCAGCTTGCTATGGGAAGTACTACCCTATTCATAAGCTGAAAGACCGGCGTTTGTATATATAGCGGGCAATTGGTGCAATTACTCGGATCACTGTAATCGCAATCTTGCAGAAGCGGCTGCTAAAGCTTTGTGGCTCACCCTTTTCCTTTTTTGGTAATGTACTATACGTTTGAAAAGAGAAGGGCATAGAGGTTAGCAATAGAAACAATAGCGAGTCAGAGGAAGGGTCGTAAATCTTACGTGAAAGAACAGGACTCCTAGTTGGAGGAGCTAATTTCATTGTTCAAGCGATATCCCATTCAAAGCTGCTATCGTGTTTGCTTAAAGTGCTTTCATACTTTCTTCACGCGATCTAAGCGATCCGGTCCCTCTCACGATGAAATCGTGGAGTATGGAGGCACCCTTAGCGTTTACAATAAAAGAAAATGTTCTTCGTGGTTTCAAATGCATCGGGTGCTCTGCACAAAAGTAGGTCAATTGGGACGGTGCCAGTGACTTCCTCACTTCTAATGATTCAAACCTTTCCGTTTCTAAAACTACATTACTCACAAAATGGCGTGGAAATTAATCAGCGAACTAGTCAGACAGACGGCATGTCTGTGGTGTGGAGTGTATTACGTCCCATATACTGCAAACGTCTATTCGCGTTTTCCGTTCTCCCGTTTTCCTGCTGAACACCTGCATTTTTGTCTCTGGTAGTGTTTGATGTTTCCTCTCAAATTTTTTTCCTCATGGCAAACTTTGACGTGATTGCAATAAGGTAGTGCGTTTTGGGTGCAATAGCGATTGTGAGCTATACCTTTGAGGGATTTTGCAGGCTTTGAGGGAAGAGCATCCGGGTAGGCAGGTAGACTCATTTCTTCGAGCAGAAAGAAGCTTTCGTATTACGGATTTCTCAGGTTTGTGCAAGAATCTCTTCTTATGCCTCAGCTTACTCGAAAAGCGCTTTTACATGTGTTCATGGCATTTTCTGCAAGGACTCGCCGCTAAATCGACACCGGAACATTTGCGGCCGAGTCTTCCGCTATAGCCTTGACTGTGCCTTTTTTAAGGCCGGGATGTTTGTATTCCAAGTCCTTTGTTCTAAGCAGTGTTAAGGGCCGAAGATTCGCAGTAATAACGAGTTGAAATTTGTGCCCTTACATTGCGAACGGCCAGTACCCGGTAATCCCTTTCGGTTCAAATAAATTAGTACATCGTACGACCCGGTTCGAAGTCTATATATTCGAATGCTATTTATTTTGGAGCGCAGTGTGATCATTGCGGTTCTCACACCGTATGAATCATCCGGCACACGCTTCGAGCGTTCCAACGCTTCTCTATGAATCATGTTTGAAACACGGAGAACATCGTACTATAGTTTTTAGTCTTACTTGTCGAAGTATCTCCTTGGTTCCTAAGCTCCACAGAAAAGCTCATCTGTGCATCAGCAGACTAATTTACTTTGATTTAATTACTGTTCTACCTATTTATGCTGAAATTACATTACATTTTTCCAGTGCTGCAAATCGCTTATCATTTTGAAACCTTTGCATTTCGTCATCTCTTATTTGCCACTGGCGCGTGATCTTTCTGCTGATAAACCAGTGTGGGCAGAACCCATCACCGACTATGTATCATTTGCTTCGTCTGTTTGTTTGTTTGCTTGTTTATTCGTCTTTTGGAAGTTCACCTCTTCTTGAGGGGAATATTCTGTTAAATAATGTGCCGGAGCCCCCTGACACACGAGTAGGCTCCATAGGTTATTGCAAAAATCTAGCAAGTTTGGAAGAAACTTAAAAGATCTTGATATTTTGCATTTCGGGGCATATACCTTCACTAGCAGCTAAATTCGTCCAACGGAACGATTGAGTTGAGCAACGCTTCCGTTACTTGGATCCGCCTAGCTTTATTATGAATATTGTTGTTGCACCCGTGATTTATGATGATTTATGATTTATTATCGGCAAACTAGTTACAATGGTCGAGATAAATAACAGTGTATGAGAAAAAAAACTCCGATAAGGTGAAAAAACACTCATGGTAATACAAGACCTATAGCTGCAAGCAATGAGTGGAGAGGTAGTCAGCGCAGAAGGGCAGTGGGCCGCCAACACTGCAAGTCCATGGATGCTCTTGTAGGAACTCCGGATACCAACTTAGTAGGTCCGCCAACTTTGCTGACTTAGCTGAGATCCAACTCCACTTGCCGCAGATTGATGAAAAAATCCAGTGGCATGAGGATGTACATTAAACAGGCAAAATACAAATACCACAAGCTATGAGCTGAAAAATATCATTCAGATAAGGATACAAGAGAGTCTTGAAACATTCATATCCACCGCGAAATCGCTTCTCGATCAGTTTAAGTTTAGTATGGTTTAGTTTCTGTCCTCAGAACCAGCCCTGAGATATCATAATTCGCCTGACTTTGCTTCCTGAAGGCCTTAGAGGAGCTCGAGTTAACAACATCAACCGGTAAATCGTTCCAGAAAGTAATAACTCTTTGGGTAAAAGAATTTCGAAACTCAGTTGATCTTGTTTTCTCTCTCATTATCCTAAAGTTGTAGAGT